TCTCCATCCTTCCCCCTCTCCCTCTCCATCCTTCCCCCTCTCCCTCTCCATGCTTCCCCCCTTTCCCTCTCCACCCTTCCCCCTCTCCCTCTCCATCCTTCCCCCTCTCCATCTCCACCCTTCCCCCTCTCCCTCTCCATCTTTCCCCCTCTCCCTCTCCATCCTTCCCTCTCTCCCTCTCCATGCTTCCCCCCTTTCCCTCTCCATCCTTCCCCTTCTCTCTCTCCATCCTTCCCCCTCTCTCTATCCATCCTTCCCTCCCCCTCTCCCTTGCTGACTGCCTCTCTATCCATCCTTCCCTCCCCCTCTCCACCCTTCTCCCTCTCCCTCTCCACCCTTCCCCCTCTCCCTCTCCATCCTTCCCCCTCTCCCTCTCCATCCTTCCCCCTCTCCCTCTCCATCCTTCCCCCTCTCCCTCTCCACCCTTCCCCCCTTCCTTCTCCATCTTCCCCCTCTCCCTCTCCATCCTTCTCCCGCTCCCTCTCCACCCTCTCCCTCTCCATCCTTCCCCCTCTCCCTCTCCACCCTTCCCCCTCTCCCTCTCCATCCTTCCCCCTCTCCCTCTCCACCCTTCCCCCTCTCCCTCTCCATCCTTCCCTCCTCTTTACTATCGAGTTACTGAGTGAAACCCCGCTACTCCTCGCAGACTGGCCTCCCTTCCGCGTGCTGCTCGGCCACACGGGCAAGGTGACGTGCCTGCTGCACCCGCATCAGGAGAACGCGCGCTACGAGATGCACCAGCTAGTGAGCGGCGGCGTCGACTTCTCCGTCTGCCTGTGGGACATGTACTCCGGCACGCTGCTGCACCGCTTCTGCATACACGGCGGCGAGGTGACGCAGCTGATGGCGACGCCATCCAACTGCTCGGTGAGTTATTCATGCGCAATATGGGGGAGGTGGGAGGGGAAGGCGCGAGTGGGGAGGTGCGGGGGAAGGTGCGAGTGGGGAGGTGCAGGGGGGAAGGTTGGAGGGGAAGTAGTGAGGGGGGAGGCAGGGGGGAGAGGTGACGCAGCTCATGGCGACGCCCCCCCAACTGCTCGGGAGATGCGTAGTGAGGCTGGGAGGGGGCGGCGACCATGAGAGGAGCTCGCTCTGATGATTGTTTCGTTACTTATCGTTATATATTATTAAAATTGTATTAATTCAGATTTATTATTTTTACATTTTTATATTTTATTATTAATGTGGTTATTTTATTATC